GGGAATAGTTAGTTTTTTATCCTGATTACATAGATCCAGTACCATATAATCTATTAACAGTACCATCAATACAACTAATGTGAATGTATTTTATATAACGTACAGTGTGTAAAACGTCACAATCTTTACTCAAAATGTTGAGGTACTGTACATTTTTTGCTACTTTGTACTTCTACTCCACTACAATTCAGAGGTTAATGGTGTACTTTTACTCCACTACATGTATTTAATACCTTTAGTTACTTTACAGATGTGGATGAATGATGTGAAATCTAATCAAGTGTTAAATCAGACTTTAGTTCCACCTGGAGTAAATTCACAAGCTACCCTGCAGTATACAAAGTCCTTCAAACTAGCTGCACCTTTACCAGCTTTGAGAACACTTTCATGATCAATCCTTTTAAAACATATCATATATATTATTCTGAAATGGACCAATCTGCACAACGACTTCTTTTACTTTTGGTACTTTAACTATATTTTGATGCCAAAACATTTGTACATTATGAATGCAGGACTTTTACTTGTAACAGAGTATTTATACACTCTGGTACTTCCACTTTCACTTAAGTACAAGATCCGAGTACTCCTCCCACCTCTGTTTATGATCGCTTTAATCTCACTTGATTTTTGCTACCAAGTAAAAGTGGTTTCCGGGCAATAATGTTTTCTTAGTAAATGATGATTACCTTGATGAAGTAGTTGGTCCCAGCCACAACCTGAGAGGTGTAGCTCTTGGCTTTGAAAACCTCATATTTCTTGCCTGCTTTCTCCTCAGCAGCGGCCTTTACCTGAAGGGAGATGAAAAGGCAGCAAAATTAAAATGAAACTCAAATCAATGTTAAATAATAATAACAATAGACCCTTTCTTTGTTTATTTTTCTACTTACCCCATCACAGATCGTCTGGATCTTTTCATCGGCCTCAGTTGGAACATTAGAAACCCCTCCACACATCATTCCCTTTCCACACGACATCTTGTGACAGTCTTAGTGTCGAAATATCAGCTAAAAAACGAACAAAACGACTTGTTTTTATTGCTGTCAGTAAGACGTTCCTACAGACTGAGTCAGGGAATCATGTGACACTGTTGTTTGGATTATACCACTGACGTAGGGGTGTTTGCTTTTAAAAATGGTGTCACAAACCAAATAAAACAGCCAATAATGATTCTCAGTGTATCCACTCGGTAGTTGCTTTTATTTCAACAATCCATCGTCTTTACAACCATGTAGGAAGTTTCTCAATATAAACGTTAGTATGGCCTTTCTCTGTGTTCCCCTCTATATAAATGATATGGTTCAGTCTGAGGCGGGGCTTTGTTTGCATCGTGACTGCTGACTATGATGTTTAAAAAAAATTGCTGGTGACCAGACAAAAACCTGCGAGTTTGAGTAGAAAAAAATCATTGCAATCACGAGTTTTGAAGATACAAAATGAGTCAAACAACTTGCAAACAGCTGATCTTTTTTTCTTCTTCTATTTACTTCCTGTTTTCCAGTTATGTTGCGGTGGAGCAGATAGAACAACTCCCATAAACAATGCAAAAGACTGGTTTGTTCCATGATTAAATCAGTTTAAAAGAAACTGTTTTTCTTGACAGTGGATGAAAAATTAAAGTTTCTCGGACTAGAAATAGATGTTCCATTCCTCTTTCTAAACACACACTTTGACTATAGGCTATACATTCACCCTTTATCCATACATCCATTAATTTCTTATAATGTATGCATGCGTTTGTGTACTTTGTGAACACATGCAGACATTGTGCTCATGCTAAAATGAAAAGCAGTATAATGTTGGTTATAAAACGGACAAGTCAAATCAAGCAATCTGATTGGTTTTTAGCCGTGATATACTACTGAGCGTATACCACGGGTAGAATTGTAAGTTACTTTTCACAACAAGTCAGTATCCCTCCGCGTCTGAGAAAAACAGTATACCGTTGGGTTCATACTGGAACAAGAAAGCAGCGGAGAAGTAACGGGGCAGAAAGCCTCCTTTTTACGCAGCGGTCCAGACATAGACATCAAACGGCAAAACATATTCAGTGTGCAGTTCCTTTGGCATTAGGGCAGGGATATCTAGATACTTTTGAAGGTTTAACATAATGAATTGTGCTACTTTTAAAGCAAGCAACGATGTTTTCAAATCTGTAATCAAAGAGGTCCGCAAAAACGTAAAACTTCATAAAGAAAATGTGACTTTCTTTAAGCAAAATATTGCATACACAAATGTGGCCTTTCAAAAATGTTCCCAGTATTTATTGCTTTTTCTAAATAACATGTAATTATACAAAAATAAATATTAAATTGTGCAAGAGTAAAAAAAATACAATTGCGCACGTGACCTTTTTTTCTGTTTTATATTCATAATGCCCTCGGTTTTTTTAATTAATGTACTGAACATTGATGTTTATCTGCCCTTTTCTGATTGTATTGGAATGATTGGAATACTTGTTCAATGTGTTAGTAATTAGCCTTTCCCGCCTGAAGATGGCGTCCAATGCAAATTTATTATGGCACATTTAAAAGAAGAAGAAGAAGAAGGGTTGTAATCTGCGCCATGTTTCCTCTCCCCAGCAGTCTGCAGGGGACACTTGTCTTCACCATGTTCTCCTACCTGCTGTCTCGTAGTTTCTGCCAGGTTGTTGCGGAAGTAAACCGCAGCTCTTACCCGACATTTGGCTCTGTTTTACGGGCTTTCACAACCTCCAGTCCCACCTTTGGAGACGCATCCGAAAATGGTAAACATGCTCAAACACTCAGGTTTAAACAGGTCCAACAGGAAGCCTTTGAATATTCCTCGTTGCCTTTGTGACAGTGTCTCTCAATCTACTGTAATGAAATGTAACCTTGAATGCTGTTTGAGTACTTTACACTGTAAGAATAATGTTTTGAAGGCACAGGGGCTGCCTATGCCT